TTGTCTATATTAAATCCTATTTAACAATGTCCCTTTCTCTGCTAAACTATATCTTCTTACTTCCCTTGTTTTATTGTTATTAACTAGTTATGTTTTCAGTCCAATCAAGATTTAATTAGCTTAGTACATATATATATATATATTCATGAATAAATAATGTATCTTTAAGACTTAAACATACCTTTAAAAATACACTTAAAAAAATTATCAGCAGGTAATATGCTAAGAACTTTTTCTACCTGGTCAGTCCTCTTATTCTTTATAGAGTGTTATATATGGTCCTACTATTTGAAGATATCCTATATTAAAAAAAAATTTACAGTATTAATTCAACTTTTATCAACTCTGAATGGACCAAAAAAAAAAAAAAGACCGCAAAGTCAGCTTTTTAGGCAGTTGAAGTGGTGAACTGACTGTTGAATGTGGGAGAAACAGAGAAATCAACCCAACTCAGGCATCGACAGTGAAGGTGTCAGAGAAATCAAGGGCACTGCCAACGTGTTACCCTGAGCGACTGAGAGACTGACATTATTTACTGAGATGAAGAAGAGTGTGAAAGGAGCAAACTTGAAGGAGAATGTGGGAAGTTTAGTTTTGAATATCTTAAGGTTATCTTTAGACCTAGAGTGAAGTGAAGTGAAAGTTGCTCAGTCGTGTCCAACTCTTTGTGACCCCATGGACTACATAGTCCTTGGGATTCTCCAGACCAGAATACTGGAGTGGGTAGCCATTCCCTTCTCCAGGGGATCTTCCCGACCCAGGGATCAAACCCGGGTCTCCCGCATTGCAGGCAGATTCTTTACCAGCTGAGCACAAGGGAAGCCCCAGACCTACAGTGGAGGTGCTGAATAGGCAGTTTGCTAGACCCTTTGGAGATTCGATCAGAGGGCAGGACTGGAGCTGTCAGCATAGAAATGATATTTAAGACCCAAGACTGGATCGCTCCACCTAAGACCCAGTATACATCTAGAAAATAACATTTGAGGGCTGAATCCTGGGCCACTCCTGTATGGAGGCTGGAACATGAGAAAGAACCAACATCAGGAATGGATAAGGAGCTTAAACCAAGAGAATGTGGGCCCAGGAAGTCAAGGAGAGTGCCTCAAAGGTGGGAGTGATCAACAGTATCAACTTGCTGACCAATGACAGGTCAAGAAAAATGCAAACGATGAGCTGATCATCAGATCTGACAATAGGAAGGTCACTGTAATCATAACAGAGTGGCATAACGCCAGAGATGATAAAGAAAGCCTAAATGCAGTGGTTTAAAAGAGAAGGTGAGGAGAATTGGAGATAGCAAGTATGGACAACTTTTTCAAGAATTTTTTCTATGAAGGAGACTGAGAATAAAAGATGAGAGTTATTACAGCATGTATGGATATGCATATGCTATAAATGATCTAGAGGAGAAAAATGACAATTCAAGAGACAGGGGGAACAATCTTTAAAACTGAAACTCAAACAAGGTATACCTGCTGTGATTCAATTAGAATAAAGTAATTACATTTTTTTTTCATATACATGGATATTTTAACAAATATTTTTAGTGGAGCTATATAATAGAACCACTGCAAAATAAATGCTTAAAACTGTCTTTGTCTTTGCTTGCCTCCCTCACTTCTACATTCTTTAAAGATAGTGGGTGTTCTTGTGGCCCTAAACCTCAGCCAAAAATACTCATGTTATGGTGATTAACTGTGTGCTTCTCCTCTATTAGTATTTTGATTTACTGAAACATTTTAGGACAAAATGATATGAGATATTTGCTTCAAAAGAGTCTTGCTGGGAAAAGAAAATGAAGAGGAAGGGAGGAAGACATAAAAGAAGTTTGGCTTGAGTTGATAGTTGATGAAGCTGAGTTATGGACCTATGGTGATTCCTTACACCTTTCTTTCTTCTTGTGCTTGTTTGAAAATTTCCATGACATAAAGTTAAAAATTAGAAGAAAAAGAGTGTCAATACCATGCTTAATCCAAAGAAATCCATTAAATGGTGAAATGTCTGATAATTTGATAACAGGTGAACAGTTTGGGGGCTCATAAATTTTCTGGCATTATCCAAATCATAACAGCTACTTACATGATTTGAAAATATACAGCACAAACATTGCCTTTTCATATACATGTGTTTGTACATGCTCAGTCACTTCAGTTGTGTCTGACTCTTTGCAACCCTATGGACTGTATAGCCCACCAGGTTCCTCTGTCCATGGGATTCTCCAGGCAAGAATACTGGAGTGGGTTGCTATGCCCTCCTCCAGGTCTTTCTGACCCAGGGATAGAATTCATGTCTGCCTGTATCTCCTGCATTGCAGGTGAATTCTTTCCTACTGAGCTACTTGGGAAGCCCTTTTCATATACAGCATAAGCTTTTTTTATCAAAAAGTATCTCAGTTACTTTAAGACAGGAGCACTTTGCATGCTTAATGTGTAAATAACTGGAAAACTGGATTTTAAAAAGTGAAGCATCAGTTCTTTTAAATATCCTTTCACTCTAGGTAAGCATAAAGAATTCTGAAAAGATTTATTCTATAAAATATGTTCTGAGGTAAAAATAATACTACATTTACAAAACAATGGTAATCCAGTTGATTTTTATGTAAAATAGTTGATTATGCACAGAAGATGAAATTTCATTGTAACAGCTGCCACTATTTAAAAAGAAATTGTAATTTCTGAAATTTTTCACTCGTATTGTTATATGACAATTTAGGTTAAAGTGATTTTTAGCCTTTCAAAACTAACAAGTGTAGAAACAGCAGTGTTGCTACATTAGCTCTGCAAATATTAACCATTAGGTATTCTTTAGTGTTTTCCAGTTACTCATTAACCATTTTATGGTGTTATTGTTTCTCTGATTGTCGGTAATTTCCACCAATGAAAGTTGAAAAACAAACTCAAATAATTTTTTTTTCTAGATCAGAATAATGTTCAGATTTTACTAATAACATCCCCCTTGCTCACTATATATTCATTATATTTGTAAATTCTACTTCGAAAATTAAACCCAGAGTTGTGCAGTTTATGGTTTTTGTTGTTGTTGTTGTTTAGCTTTATTGCCCTCAACATTTCCTTGGTGTAAACTACCAAGCAAGGGAACAAGATTTCCTTTGTAACTGATACCTAAATTTCTATTCTGCTTTAAGCATCTAATTTGTACTGTGAAGACATATAATTTGAGACTTGTAGCTATATCACAAAAGTACAACAGTTTACGCTGATCTCTAATTTTCTGACTTGTCCTGGCTATAATTTAAATTTTTTGCATGTTTTTAACTGTAGTGCAAACCAGTATACATCAGAAACCTTTGTATATTGACAGAGACCAGGAAAAGGATGCCTTGTTCTGATTTCAGATAAGCATTCCCTTTTCACAACTGCAGGTGCAAGGGAGCCCATTCATAATATTTGCTTCAAATCAGCTACAGTCACTGGATGGAAATACAGCTATTAGAGGAGAACCTGACTAATCTTAACTAACACAATGAATATTAAAAAAAAAAAACTATTATTAGCAGAATCTGGGGGATGTATGGCTTTTTCTTTTATCTACCTACTGGGGACAAAATATACTTTGTTGACACAAGTTTTGATCGTTTTACTAATGTATATGTGTGTGTGTATTTACAAAATCCAGAAAATCTGCAACAAACAAGTATTTCACTTGAGACAATTAATGATGTTACATTTCCCTTTGCCTTAAGTATCACTTATTTAAAATTAACTTACAAGCCAAAAAAACAGTCACAAGTTAAAAATTAATTGTAATTGCTCTAATTTCACATAACTGGGTAAATCTTTTGAAACAAATGTCAGACAGCTATCTATGCAACCAATTGATAGCATTTTTCCATTATAGACTCTTATTTATATGCTTATGACTTGATGGTTTTAATTTCTATTTAATCATATAGAAATTTGACTATTCAAAGCATAGAGGAACAGTTTAGTCTACAAAACAATTACAAGTCTCCTTAACAGGAAAGGTGAGAGAAAGGCTCTAATAGAATTCAAAGGTTCAATGACCAAACACAGATAAAGTAACATTTTCCAAAAAGTATGGCAATAATCACTGCATTGGTAAAAATAAATATTTGCCTTATATTTAATGCCAGTAAGAACTCATCCTAAATTCATGATTATTACTATTACTTACTTTGTCTTACTGTTTGTTAACAATCCAGTACTACCACCTTAAATATGCATATAATTCAGATGTGCCAAAACAGCTTTTCACACACTATTTGACTTGAGCTTTTCTTTGTGATTTATAAAATGAAGATGATAAAGAAGTATCCTCTCCAAATCAGGTCATTCTGACAAAAGTGGCTTGCCTGGAATGAAAGCTGGCAGTCTTGCTCTAGGCTTCTGTCTCAGGGTCTCAGTCTCAGGCATTGATCTCACTGAGGGATGACTTGCTGGCAGCTGTTTTTTGAGCTGAGAAAACAGTGACTTAAAGAAGGAATATTCTTCATATGTGTTCAGTTAATTCAGGATAAGCACTAAGGTAGCATAAACGTGTGCTGCTATCCTTTTCTTTCAGGGACTCAAAAACAGGACCATCACTCTCATTAAACCAGGTGATTCTCAGGCTTGAATCAAATGCAAGCTAGTGGGTAATGGACCCCAAATGCTAGAAACATGGGAGGCATCTTCAAGGATGCCTTCAAGGAGGACACCTTCAAAGATAAAGCGGAACACCTAAACTGGCTTCTGTAAATATCCACCACCTTTCCAAACTTTCATTCTGTTACTGCCTCCTTGAGCAACACATAGTGTCTCCTGATACAGGTAGTTACTGCTGTCACTCCAGGGAGGAAATACTTGCTTGACACCTGGCCTCCCTTGGGCTGCCTGCGATGGAGAATACTGCCACACACACCCGCCCTTCTTAAGTTCTCCGCAGTTGGAGGCTGTCACCCGGCCACTTACCTAGCCTCTTCTTGACAGCCCAAGACCTTTGAGAAAAGGAAGAAAACAAAAGAAAACAAAACCACTTACCACTTTGGCCCAGTCCAAGAACAACTGAAAACATCCAGGCCGCCCGGAGGAATGGGGCAGGACCTGGCCTGCAGTTTTGCAGGCAGACTAATGTGGTAGTAAAAAAAACCAGGGCCGAGCGGCACATAATGCAAAGCAGCCCGCACCACACCGCGCCCGCCGCCTGGCTGCTAACCGGATGCGCGCTCGCGCTCCGCGGCGCGAAGTGCCAAGTGTTGCTAGGACGTTTCCAGCAGGCCCAGCAGGCGGACCCCGCGGCTCGGAGCAAACGTTGCAGGTACGCCGGCCTGGCCACAGCTCGGCATCTCAGGGCCCAGGCGGCCCTCCCAGCTCGGCAATCTTGCGGGTCCCGAGAGCTCCGCGAGAAGCACCTCCTCTGACGGCCAATGGCCCGAGGCGGCGACGCGAGCAAAGGCTCCGCAGCCCGCTCTGGGACAAAGAAAAGAGCTTTTGTCTCTCCCCAGCCGATGGGGCTTCTGCTGCATAAATCAGCTTAGCGAAGAGCCAAACACAATCAAACCCAAACAAAGCCCGAAGCTGGGGAAAAACCAGCCTAATGTACATTCAGTGGGTGATGCTGCATCTGTGGGAGGGGACGTTGGCGAGGCCGAAGGGGAGAAAAGTCGATGGCGCATCAATCAGCTCGAGCTTCTTCCACAGGTGGGTAGGGAGGCCAGCTTCAGTTAGTTGCAGCTTTGCAGCCTCGTCAGCTGAGCAGCGGGCAAAGTCGAAACGACAGCGTCCTGGTTAGCGAGGGAGGAAGCTTGAGGTGCCAGCAACCAGAGGAGGCGGCCCCTGAGCGCTCTAGAAGCCCCCGCCGGCGTCGGCGGACACAGTGCTAGGCATCGCAGCTCCCTGCTTGACCCGAAGTGAAGCGCACGACCGACCGAGAGCTTAGGAGGGGAGGTTCCGCGGGGGCGCAGGAGCCTGGTTTCACGGGGCGGGAGCTTCGCGCCCTGGTTCTCTTGGCCCCAGTGTGCGGCTCAGGCGTGCCGCGGTCCAGAGCCCGGACAGCTGTCGCGCTCCGGGGTGCACTCCGGCGAGGCGAAGCTGGCGAGGGGAGGGGGAGGAATGATCATGCCCCGGCCCCCGTCTGGGGTGAGGGGGGTTGGGGCTTCCAAAGTGTGGATTGCAAGGAGCGTTAGGGCGGCGAGTTGCTAGGAAACCGCCCCACGCTACAGAGCTCCTTGCCCCGGCCGCCCGCAGGCGCGGCGGCAGCGGCTCCGGCGGCAGCAACAGCTCGGAGCAGCGTGGGCGGGACATTGGTGAGGCATGAAGTCACCACGGCCCACACTCGCTCTTTGTTTTGCTCACTCCAGCTCTTTTTCTCCCCCTTGGCTCTGATAGTTGCCATTCCCATCGTTCACAAGAGCTCCTGATGCGTAGCCGCGCAGCAGGAATCGCACAGCCGGTTCTCTTTCCCCCTCCTCCCGGAATCCTTGCACCCCAGTGCTCGCCTAGCAAGCGCGGAGACACGCTCAGTAAGAGTGGCGCTGCGCGAAAGTCCCAGCCTCTGACCCCGACGCTGCGCGCCCCTTTGTTGGGAGATACTTACAGCTCGGCCGCTACCACAGACTAAGTGGAGTCTAGAGGCCTCTCCCTGCCCCCAACACCCTCTGTTCCGATGGTGCGCGCTGCCCGTTTTGCTTGCAGAATTAGTAGCTCACCCTTTGCCCCACCGCAAGATTACTGAGCGTCTTCCCAACTCTTGGAGAGTTGGGCCGGTCCGCAGGGGCTGCACCCTGAGTTGCGGCTGAAATTTCTCACGGCTCCTCTGCTTGGAGCCTCAGCCCTGAGCTGGACAGCCCTAAGACCCAGAGTCTTGTGGTGGCTCTGGGCTTTTGCTAGTCACAATGGATCTTTTGACCTTAAGCGTCACCTTCCGAATAAACGGAACAAAGAAGTTACAATGGGCGGCGAAGCAGAAGAGTGAGGCTAAGGAGAGGAGGTGGGAGGGCCTTTCTGCGCGTTTACAGCTCAGAAATTTAGGTACAAGCCGGGAGGCGGTGTTATGCCCGGCAACTGTCGGGAAAGCCGCTCGCCTCTTTGGGTCGCATTACTACGACGTTAGGCCGAGGGAGGGAACCCAGTCCCTCTGATTGAAAACAAGGCGCTGTTTCCAATCTGAGACAGGCTGATGGTTCTCTTTTTCCTCTAGGGGCAGGAGAGGTTCCCCGTGGTAAAGTCTGACCTCTTTTTTTCCACTAGCAGCCCGATTTTTTTTTTTTTTTTTTTTTTTTATAGAGCAGCACCTCTTACAGGCTTCAGAGCATTCCAGCCAGGTCAAGGTGAAATATGCGGGAGTTTCCCTCCTTCTTATTTGTTTAATAGTTTCCATCTCCATATTTGGAGTAAAAAAACAAGTAGGAGGGTTTCTCTCTCTCTTTTTTTCTTTCTCTTTTCTAATTGTTAACTGAGTGAATGGAAAGTACCTGGTTAATAAACCACGACGTTAAAAACTCCCCCTTTTCAGGTGTGGACTGCACACTGGGGCCCACAGTATTAGCTAAGCAAGCCAGGAACCTAGTTGGAAAATTACAAGTGTTCTGGATCTACAAAGCAAGTCCTTTTGAGAGACTGAATGAATGACCCAAACTTGAAAAAAAAATACTTGTAAATATAATTCCACTATTGGAAATGTACTCTAAGTAGATAAAATTAAATTCAGCCCAGCTTCATTTTTTCTTTCCTCACTTCCAAGTTTGAACAGCTATAGTTTTGCTTTTGGTGGTACTAAAGGACAGATCCTGAGAAACAGCTGGAATGGGGGTGAGGATTTGAAATTGGAACACAAAAGGAACATACTCAAGCTCTGATTAGTGACTCCTCGGTGAAGCAGCATGTGTATTTTCCAGAGATTAGTTTTTTGGAATTCTAAGAAATGCAGCCATCTTTGAGACAGTCCAGTACTACAGTAAAGCAAAAAAGTCAATCCATAAACTCTGTAAGGATGTGTTAATATAAGTATACTCTGCATTGTTGAGTGACTATCACATCAGAGTTTCATAACATTTTAAAGTCTAACTCTTAATGTGGAAATGTAAATGGAAGTTACATATTAAATAAGATATAAATTTATTCTCATTTATAAATAATGAGAATGTGAAATTGAGAAGGTATGTACAAATTTTTAAACTCTATATTGTTAGATATCACTATGCTCTATATACTAAGTCAACACAACTGTGTAGCAAGAGGAATAAAACAAACATAAATCTGTAGGATTGTAAATTTGAAGCCCTTTGGAATTCATATTGTATTATATGGAGCTCATGCAAATATATGTCAGGATGCCAGTTTTATGGAGACATGGAAGAATAAGCACAACTCCATATATCATCACTCCCCAATTGCGAAGAGGTAATAATCCTGGTTATCAAAATAAGTGAATATTCCAGCTGCAAGACTGTGATCCTTGCAAGCTATTTACTAACAAATTATCTGTACATTTGGGGCTATAAAGACAAAAGTGAATTCTCCCAAATCTTGCAAATCAGCTGTAAGGTTTTCTAAGACCAAATATAGCTAGTCACTTGGGGCAAAGTTTGCTTGTTTACAACAAAAAATTGTCACAACTCACCTTTTTCCTGTAAGAAAAAATGTACAGTATTTATTGTGAATAAATGCAGTATTGTTCTCTTCATGTATTACCTGAAGAATTCTAACATAGAAAAAAATGTTTCAGAAGATAGTGACCTGAGTAATTTGTTTCTATCATGTTCTGCTGTCTTTGAAATTTCTGACAGCTGATATTTCATTATTTGTGTTAATGAAAGCAAATGAAATTCACGTATAGTCTAAAAATAACATTTTAGCTATTCATTTTGGGCTTCCTATAATCAGAATCCTTTAGTTGTAGTAAGTCATAAGATTGGATGAATTAAGTTTCTAACCTACTCCTTTAACCTTGATATCTCAGTTTATGGTGAGAAATGAATAAGCTGCAGACAGTTAATAGGAGTGAGAGAGACATCTGAGAGACTGCTCCCTTTAGTGTTTGTTCAGCCTTTAATTGGATATTGCTGCTTCTGCTAAGTCGCTGCAGTTGTGTCTGACTCTGCAACCTTATGGGCTGTAGCCCACCAGGCTCCTCTGTCCTTAGGAGTCTCCAGGCAGAATACTGGAGTGGGTTGCCATGCCCTCCTCCAGGGGATCTTCCCAACCCAGGGATCTAACTCGTGTCTCCTGTGGCCTGCATTACAGGTGGGTTCTTTACTGCTGAGCCACTGGGGAAGCCCATTGACCCCATGGTTACAACCAAAGCCATATTCACATTTTAATATTGTATCATCCTGAAGTCGAGATCAAGTTTTATTCAGAGGTTTTAAGTTCATGTTCACAAGTTGTCTGTGAACTTGTTTCATCTACAACTTTTCGGAGATGATGAATGATTGAGCCCAGGGGGATATATTATTGTGACTGATTTCTAGGTTCTTCCAATGATAAAGAATAGAAGCCATCAGGAAGTACTTTTCACTGAAATGTTACAGAAAGTAGTGTTCCTCATGCTCTGAACTGAAGATTGCCTATAACATAATCACCTGTAGAGTGATTCTTTACTGTACTATTTCAGGAGATACTGAATTCATAGATGTGGTGTGATGCCCAGCAATATGCATTGTTACTAACTTCTCAAATAGTGCTTTATATACTGTGGTTTAAGAGCCCCTAACATGATAGATTAATGCAGAGACTCCTCAAAGGACTCGTGTGTGCTTATTGATAAACTCTAGTGTCAGATGCAAAGACAAAAAAAATGAACTGCTAGAGCCAGTGTCTCTTTCCAAGGTAATTTATGGATGAAAATATCCTCGATATTATGGATATTAATTGAATGAGATGTTAATATTTTTGGAAATAAGACTTCCATTATTGAGTTTAAGGAGTTGCTGGGTTAAGCTTAAATCCCCTGCTGGAAAAATTTTCAGGAACTTGAATAGGTTTCCATGGTGGCTCAGATGGTAAAGAATCTGCCAGCAATTCAGGAGACCCAGGTTCAATTCCTGGGTCAGGAAGAAACACTGGAGAAGGGAATGGCTACCCACTCCAGTATCCTTGCCTGGAGAATTCCATGGCCAAAGAGCCTGGTAGGCTACAGTCCCTAGGGTGGCAGAGTCAGACATAACT